GAAAAGGACGGTTTTGTTGCGTGGATGAAATTTTTAAATTTACTGCAATGTGCACTTTAAGCTTTCTTTTCGGTTTTCTTGGGCAAAAGTACAGCTTGAATGTTTGGCAAAACACCACCTTGAGCAATGGTCACACCAGACAGCAGTTTATTCAATTCCTCATCATTGCGGATGGCCAATTGTAAATGACGTGGAATGATTCTGGTCTTTTTGTTATCACGAGCAGCATTACCAGCCAATTCAAGTACTTCAGCCGCCAAATATTCCATAACAGCAGCTAAATAAACTGGAGCGCCGGCACCAACACGTTCAGCATAGTTGCCTTTGCGTAACAAGCGATGAATACGACCAACGGGTAGAGTTCTAACGATACTATCAAATGAGTACTTTGATAATCGATACCTTATTTGGTGATTTTACTCGATACTTTGCAAAGTACTCGTAGTATCGGATACTTATTAAAAAACACACTTTTTAAATTTTGGCAACCCAATTTTCTTTGCTTGTATGGATTACTATCATTCAATTTTGTCTTAGTCTGTTGTATAGCATAAACCAAATAAGTTAAAGTTGAATGGCCTTATTCATAAAAAATAAAGTAGGTTTAAAGAGCTTAATAAAATTACATTTTCATACATTTTTCAGTTTATATACATTTTTGATTTTTTATGAATAAGGCCATAAAACCTTACGCAAAGTTCACGAAAATGCAGAATTTTTAGAAACTTTTTGGGTATGCAGTTTTGTAACCTATTCAAGTTTACGTGTAGCCTACTACCGTTGACTTTTACAGGTCTATTCTGCGCTGTTACTAAAAAGTTTGTAACCGGTAAATAAAGTTCCTGTCAATTTTTAAACCTTTTCGCATTCTATATACTCTTGTAACCATCTCATAAGCTGGTAATAAATTATTGCCCCGTGAAATATTCAATGCAGGATTTGCACAATTCCTCATAGCTGAATTGCTGAATATTTTAACTGCATTACCAACGTACCTAGAATCGCGGTGACAAGAAATGGTAACATTTTTTGGTAATACAATTTTCCGGTTACAAAATCTTCGGTAACGTGCAGAATAGACATGTTAATTCAAACTTCCACATTATTATACTAAAATTGAATAGGATACAAAAATGCATACCCAAAAAGTTTACAAAAAAATTTCTTCATAAAATTTGAATTCGTGAAAGTATATATATATGTATTTATATATATATCGTCGTTTAAAGTGCAAAACCGCGTATCAACAAAATGCAATACCGCGTATCAGCAAAATGCAAAACCGCGTATGTAAAGTTGTAGAAATTATTTTCTAGGTGTAAAAACACTCATATTTCAAAATGGTTTCCTTTTTTAAAAAGCAATCGCATTTCTGGCTAGTGTATTTCAGGACGAATGGATAAGGATTGAGCCAAGGGCTTGTGTGAGCAAATCCAATTTGTGGCAGCCAATGTCAGTTACGCGGTTTTTGCGGAATGACGATACGCGGTTTCGTACTTTAAACGACGATATATGTATTTATGTATGTATGTATATTTAACGTTAAAATTACTTCTAACGTGAAAGTAAGTTCTGCAATGAAATGAAAATCAAATATTTTAAATTTCTGTAGTTTTAATTTCAGGAAATAACTAGATATACGATTGAGGAATAAAATAATTTTAGTATTTTAATGATACTTTTAGAGTATCGATACCATGAGCTCGATGCCAGAATGAGTACTCAGTATCGATACCAAAGTCTGAAATTTCGAACCCTACCAACGGGAAATTGAAGACCAGCACGCTTGGAACGAGACTTTGCCTTTCCCTTACCGCAGAACTCCACAGGCGAACAGCGATGGCCTACCAACTGTCAGTTTGACGAGCAATGTGATTGCAAGTTTTTGTGTGTGGGCACTTTGATGTCTTGAAATAAGCTTTTGCCGCATGACGCCACCAGACACCATTCTCTCAATTTCGGCGTTTAAAAACATTTAATCTTTAAAAAAACTAGCTAAATAATTTCCTAAAACGCAATCATAAATTATCCAATACGGAACAGATTTTTATTTTGATTTAATATCAAAATTTTATCGATGTTACCACTAGCACGCTTTCTTTCAAATGAAAATATGGCTGTCAAACTATCGAATTGCCTGCAATAGATGTCAAGCAATAAGAGCTGACATATATTGCAGCACATGAGAAATAGGCGGTCTCCATTGGAAATATATTTTGTGACATGGTTATCACGACATCAGTGTATTCCTGTGGAGACAGGGCCTTAACTTTGCCACCTTTACCACGACCAGACATTTTTGGTTATTTTTCTCTTATTTTTCACTTCACTAATAAAACACTTCACAGTATGCTCACAAGCAGTATATGCTAGTAAACTCAAAGTGCGCTGCTTATATACTTTTTCATTTGGCTATCATTCATCCCCTTTACAATGTATTTAAATTCGTGTTTGCCTTTTCCGCCGAATCGTTGCGTTGCCTGAATGTATTGTCGGAAAAAATGCACTTAAGCGTACACATTTCAAACCTTGTTATAGAGTGACTCAAAAGTGAAGTGATTTGAAAAATGCCGCCTAAAACTAGTGGAAAAGCAGCGAGGAAACCCGGCAAGGCTTAGAAGAATATAAGTCCCCTTTCAGACACGTCAAGTCTTGCTTTCAAGTCTGCTCGTTCGTAGGCGAAGGAGGTGAGAAGAGAGGGGAAGAGTACAGATACCTCCGTATTGTCAATTCGTTACAAGTTTTCTTGTCTCTTTTGATCTTTTCGTTGCTTCCCATTTAAAGAACCAAGGACTTTAATTGAATTCAAGTCCTTGGTTCTTTAAATGGGAAGCAACGAAAAGATCAAAAGAGAATGCGAAAAAAATTGCTTTCAAGACTTGACGTGTCTGAAAGGGGACTAACCAAAAATGACAAGAAGAAGAAGCGCAAGAGGAAGGAAAGCTATGCCATCTACATCTACAAGGTTTTGAAGCAAGTACATCCTGATACCAGCATTTCGTCAAAGGCCATGAGTATCATGAACAGTTTTGTGAATGATATCTTTGAGCGTATTGCTGGTGAGGCATCACGTTTAGCCCACTACAACAAACGTTCAACCATCACCAGTCGCGAAATTCAGACTGCCGTACGTCTACTTTTACCTGGTGAATTGGCCAAGCACGCCGTCAGTGAAGCTCTAAATGGGTGTATAATGAAATCCCGATATACAAAATACCGAAATACAGAATCCCGAAAGGCATTATCCAGACACGACCAAATCGCGCGATTTTTTAATTATTTTTATATTTTGTCGGGATTTTTGTCATGATTGTCTTCTGTTTTCATTCAAAAATAATGTATAAAAGACACATTTATTGTTATTGTTGTAAGGGCTTACTTAGCCCGTAATTGTCAGCAGGCTCAACTAACGGTAGGACCAGGAGATTTGATATTTCGATGAGGTAAACCAGAGGGAGAGGGGGGGATGTTAGTTGAGTTGGATTGGGTGAAGAGGTGGTTGGTGTCAAGGGGGGAATCTCCACATGCTGGACACTCATTTTCGATGTTGGGAGGCGAGTTGGGCCATCTCGTTGGGGTATCTCGTGGCAGTTGAAGCCCACTCTCGTTCACAGGTGGTGATTGGCACTGATGACGGCATTCACTTGACTGGAGTTTGTAAATACCGTTAATAGCCTGTCTGTACAGTCCCAGTCCCTGGGGTGCTGTGCGTAATGCTCGACCTGGTCCTTCATTGTATGCGCCGGGAACGAGAGCTAGATCTGACAATTTTCCGGTTATTCACCGTTGGAATTAGTTTGCCATCGACGAGAATACGCAGCTTTCGTCCTTGTGGTAAAATGGTTGCCGAGAGGGTTAGGCTCCTTGCAGTGAAGAAGCGAAAAAATGTGGAGTGGTAACCGTTTATATTTAAGCATAAGTCATCAATTTCATTTCCGGACGCATTGTAATTTTTTTTTTGACTGGATTTTGTCTTGTCTGAATAATGTGTTATCTGTATTTTATTTGGTCGGGATTTTGTTATGTCTGTATTATGTCCTGTCTGGATTTTTAAAAATTGTCTGGATTATGTCTAGTCGGGATCTTCAAAGTCGGGATTATGGAGTGCTCCCGCTCTAAATAATTTGTCCAATCAAGATGCAGTGAAACAAAGAAAACGGCCCTTCTCAGGGCCACAACATATTAATTAAAGAGGTATAAAATTTCTGTGTATAAGCGCAAATCAAATATATATATATATATATACGTATATATGTATTAGAGATGGGCACAGGACTAAATATTTAATCCCGATCCCGCCCATCCCGAAATTCGATTTTTAGGTCCCGAACCCGCCCATCCCGACATTTTTCAGAATTGTACCGCGGGTCCCGATATCTGTCTCTAAAGCAGGCTACACACGTACAACAAATTGAAACGAGCGGTTGAGATTTCAACGTGTGTGGCGAGGTTTACAAACCGATCGAAGGTTCACAAAAATGTATTCCATTCCAGAACGCATACGAAATGTTAAAAAAAACGTGCCAAATGATGAAATGTAAAATGGCATTTGACATTTTAATTTTTTTTTGAAGAAGCGACGCATACAAATTTTAGTGCTTTGGAATATTCAAAAATCTAAGATATTTAAAGAAAATGTGCTTAAACTTGTTAAAAATGCCAAATGCCTTTCTACATATGTATGTTAATTTATTTACTTACATATGTGCATTAGGTTAATTTTTTTTTTTCATATACATATCTGATTGTGTAAACAAAGTATTTTTTGATCTTTTTGCTAAAAGATTTTGTAGCCCTGAAAAGGGCTTTTTAAGTTTGTTTCGGGAATATGGATTCCGTAAAAAAATTTACTTAGCAGCTGTTGCTTTTTTTGCGGCTGGTTTTTTACTAGCGGCAGCTTTCTTTGGTTTGGCAGCGGCCGATTTTGCTTTTGCCGCCTTTGGTTTGGCGGCAGCTGATTTAGCTTTGGCTGGCTTTGCTTTTACTGCACCAGTCTTTTATGCATCTTTCGTCTTGGCTTTTTCACTTTTCTTGTTTTCAGCTGTTTTCTTGCTAGCGACGGCTTTCTTCACCTTTTTCTCGCCAGTCGCCTTTTTGGCACCACTTAGCGCCTTTTTCTTCGATGCTGCACCAGTAGCCGTCTTCTTTTTGGCCTTGGCCTTCTCTGCTTTTGGCTTTACTTTTCCCTCACTGGATTTTGAGGCCGAAGCTGATAATTTGAATGAACCAGACGCACCTTTTCCTTTGGTTTGAATCAATTTTCCACTGGAAACTGTAGATTTCAAATAACGCTTGATGAATGGTGCCAATTTTTGAGCATCGCACTTATATGTGGCACTAATGTATTACTTAATTGCCAAAAGTGATGAGCCGCCACGTTCCTTTAAACTCTTAATGGATGCGTCGACCATTTGTTGAGTTGATGGATGGGTGGGAGCAGCCGATGGTTTTTTTGGGTTTAGCTGCCTTTTTAGCAGCAACTTTCTTTTCAGCGACAATCGCAGAAGCGGCCACCGTAGAACTAACATTAGCAACAGCAGCTGAATCAGATATTTTTAAAAATTCTTGTTTTTTTCTTTCTTTATTTAATAACACACACTGTATTTATGTATTTACGCACTGATATGAAATTTGTTTTTTTCAAACACATAGCTATTATTAAGTGTTAGTCCATAAAAATTGTGAGAAGCGAGGCGCAGAGATGAGTTAAAAATTTGTAGGATTCAGTACTATTTGGCATTTGTGTATGAGAAATTTTGAGATGAATTAAATTAATTAAAAATCATGTAACGAATTTATGAATGAAAATTTGATACATAACGATAGCTTAAATATGTTGTTTCAATAAAATATAACGTAAATTGATATAAGATGAATATCTTTGTTTATGGGGTATTTTAATCCAAACTTTGTAATCGAAAAATCACAATTTCGCCAATTAAAGTACGTTTTTTGCAAAGTTTTAAAAATGAGGCGACTAATTTTATTAGAAACTTGAAATATATAAAATTATCTATCCATTAAATGTTTTATATGAAATATTTAATAAAATATTATGACTGAAATAATTTTTTCAAATATCTCAATGATATCACAGGTACAATTCTATGTGGCTTCAATTCACTGCATTAATAAAGTCAACATATTAGTCAAGATCGAGCATTATCATTTTATATAATACTTATTGAAATGAATTTAAGCGATTATAAATTAATATAAAAAGATTTTTTACCAAGTTTTTAATTAAGAATGCTCTCCTCATTAGATAAATACACATCGTTACCTGGGTAAAAGTTTGTCGTAAGCGCCATTTTAACGGATTGTTCATTCAAAACGCAGTTTTATATTATAAACTAATATTTTTCGATTGGTGTTATAATTTTTCCTATATCTCAATTATTCTCTAAGATATTCAGTAAAAATTGGTCGTATTTTCAAGTTTGCTCGGTCAACATTTTGTTGCATGTGACGAAAAATTTTACATACGACAAATTTTCATTCAGTTTGATGAATTTTATTACTTTTCAAAATACGTGAAAACAATTTAAATGTAAATGTAAATTCTATACTTAATGTAGTTAAAAATGAATACTCACAAAATGAATTCAAATATACTCACATATACTAAGTGTATTTACTATAAAAGCAATTCAAATTTTTAATTTTAGTTCAATGAGGAAATCGATGCGCATCACTCCCGCATTATAAGTGGCATAGATGCGCATCTCCACCGTAGTATCAAGAATGATAGAAAAGGAACGAATGAACGAAACAGTACGAATAGCAGACAAAGAAGAAGTGGCAAAATTCCATACAAATGATAACCAAATTGCGAACACTCACGCAAAATTGTAAAATAAACAATATATATTAGTTTATTATGAGAAATATTAGAAGGAAAGTTGAGTAAATGTGCCAGGCATATATGTGACGGAAAGCAACCTAAAGTTGCTTAATTGGAAAAGTGATTGGGCGCGTTCATAAGACATAGCTGTTGCCTTACCGTTGGCTATTTGTCTAAGAAACGCACAATTTAATAGTTCCGCTCAGCTCAACAGTTGGTAACTTTCCGCCATTTTTTCCAGCGGAAAATTTTTACGCTACCTGAAGTCAACGTGTTGGGCTTAGCCTAAACAGCTGATCGAAAAGACTAACGCCGCTTATATTAAATTTAAAGCCGCTTTTTTTAGGCGGCAGTCGCAAACAAATTTATTCGATTTTATATTACTGATATGATAAAGTAACTAATAGACTCCCGCGCAATTCCATTTAAAGGGCCTAACAAGACATCCGATCGCCGCGCAAATACTTTCCCTCCTTTACTCTCATCGTTCGGGTCAAGTGTGAGTAAGCATAAACCAGTTTCTGCAAGCGTACGTAAACTACCGATCAATAGCAAGACGCGTAGAGTATTTACTTTGCCTTCCGCAACTACTGCGAGTAAAAGGTATTTGACAGTAGAGTACTCTACTGGTAGTACTTGAGTATTTTCGAAGCAAACATACATTTGTGGCAAGAATGATAGAAGAATTTTCTGGATCGTGCATTTGTGGTACTTTCAACTAAAATGCTGATATACATACCTAAGTACATATGTATGTATGTGCATAGATACGTATGTGCATAGATACGTATGTGCATAGATACGTATGTACATAGATACGTATGTACATAGATACATATATATGTAAGTGTCCGCATATATTTTTTCTCGTCACTTGTTCTGTCGCTTCACTGCAGCAAAACCAAGTTGTGGGGAAAACCCTGACGATATGCGTACAATTGAAACCATGGGTTTAAAGATAGCGCAAATTGATGTGAAAATTTCAATTTCATATTAAATATATTTATGTATGCATGTACATATGTATGTACATATGTAAAAATGTAGTTTCGATTTAAAAAAATCGGATAAAGTTTTTCTTTCGCCATTCATACACTTCTAATTTTAGTATTTATTAAAAAAACTCAATGAAATTCAAAAACTCTATCTTGCATTTGGTTTTACTCAATACCAATTTGAGCTGTCGCAGTGTTATCAAAAAAAAAAGTTATCAATAGGTAGGTTCAGAAGGCGCAGCAGTTGAGCGCAACCGTTGCTAAACAAAAATCAGTGATCGTTATGCGTCTTTTGAACGACTTCATACATTAGCTGTCAAATTCAACTCTCAAAGGTACACACCAACATTTTGTCTCAAATGATCAGAAAAATATTACGATCATCTAACACGCAACTATTCAGTTGATCAGTAGTACGCAACAACGCGTTCAGAAGGTGCAATCGCACCAGTTACTGAGCTGTTGCGCCTT